GGGGCGTCGTCACATCAGTCTTGACAACACTCCCACTCGACTCGTCAGCGACCACGATGCCCAGCTTCGTCCTGAGCGCGTCGAACTGCGGCGCCGCGATCGGCTTCGTCATGATGTCCGCCAGCATGTCGAGTGTCGAAACATACTGCAACACCACTTGACCGTCTTCCACCTTCTCGCGCACGAAGTGGTAGCGAATGTCGATGTGCTTGGTGCGCTTGTGGAACTCCGGGTTCTTGGCCAACGCGATGGAGCCTTGGTTGTCCTCGTAGATCTTCACCCCTTCATCGCTCGCCATCTCGCCCAGCTCGCACAGAAACACCTTGAGCCACACCGCCTCCTGCGTGGCCTCCGACAGCGCCATGTACTCGGCTTCCGTCGACGAGAGCGCCACCGTGCGCTGCTTCTTGCTTCGCCAGCTGATGCATCCGCCGTTCATCATGAACGCGTAGCCACTCGTACTCCGTCGAGACTCGATGTCGCCGGCCCAGTCCGCGTCCGAGTAGCCTTGCAGTCCGTCCTCGCTGCTCGCTTGAAACACGAGGCCGTGCGTCTTCGTGCCTCGGATGTAGCGGAAGACCCTCTTGAGCGCCTGCCAGTGTGTCGGACATGGGTCCGCTGCGAACTGGCTCAGCACTCCCACTGCCGCTGCGAGGTCCGGACGAGTCCCCACCATGAGATACATGAGGCAGCCCACGGCGTTCCGGTACGGAACATTCGCCATGGTCTCGTCGTGCTTGCAGCCTCCCTCGCACATGGCCTTGGTCAGCTTCAGACCCGGATCCTGCGGTGTCTTCACAGGGTTGCTCTCATCCATCTTGAACTTCTCGAGAATGTCCTTCGCGAACTTGGTCTGCCGCACCGACACCTTCCCAGTCGCCACATCTTGCTCGATCTCCATACCGAGAAAGTACTTGAGCTGGCCCATGTCAGTCATCTCGAACCGGTCACTCAGCGCCTGCTTCGTGTCCTTCAGCATCCTGTCGCTGCTGCTGGCGAGGACCAGATCGTCCACGTACAGTGCCACGAACATCATGTCGTGATTGTCCCGCTTCAAGTAGATGCAGTGGTCGGACTCGCACTTCTTGAACCCCAGCTTCAACATGAACTCGTCGATCGTCTTGTTCCACATCCGCGGCGACTGCTTCAGGCCGTACAGCGAACGCTTGAGCCGGCACACGTAGTCGGGTCGATCTCCGTCCACATATCCGTCCGGCTGCGCCATGTAGATGTCCTCGTCCAACAAGCCGTTGAGGAACGCGGTCTTCACATCCATCTGGTGCACTGTGAGCTTGTACTTGGCCGCCAGACTCAGCAACACCCGAATCGACGTGAACTTGGCCACCGGCGCGAACGTCTCGTCGTAGTCGATGCCGTACTTCTGCGAGAACCCCTTCGCCACCAGTCGCGCCTTGAACCGCTCGATCTCTCCAGACTGGTTCTCCTTCACGCGGAACACCCATCTGCAGCCGATCGCCTTGCGTCCCTTCGGCAGTGGCACCAGGGTCCACGTCTCGTTCTTGCGGAGCGACTCCACCTCCGAGTCGCACGCCTCTTTCCACTTGTCTGCGTCGCTGGATTCCATCGCCGACTTGAACGTTGTCGGCATCTCTCCCACTGAATCCACGACGTACGCAGCCTCGAAGTCTTCCTTCTCTTGTGCTGCGGCAGACATCTCGTCCAGCGGCTGCTGTCGTCTCGGCACCGCATACCGCTTGGCACTCGGAACCTCCACGGCTTCCTCGAGCGACTGCGTGCGCGGGTGTCGCTTGCTGCCGGGTTCAAAGTCTTGATTCCGCGCAGCTTCTTCTCTGTTCTCGTCTGATCCGGACTGAGTCTCTTCATCCGTGGTGTCTTCATCATCATCTGTCGGAAGACCCACCAACACCTCCTTCGAAGCGTAGTCGCGTCTCCCACCGTCGAAGACATCCTCCATGAACTGCGCGTCGCGGCTCACCAACACGCGACCGCTCTCGATCTCCTCGAACCGATACGCCTTCTCGTGCTCCGAGTACCCGAGGAAACGACAGCGCACCGACCGAGCGTCGAACTTCGACCGCTTCTCCTTCGGCACGTGCACGTACGCGTGGCACCCGAACACCTTGAGGTTGGCCAGCAAAGGCTTCTTGCCGGTCCAAACGTGGTGCGGCGACTTGTCGTGACTGATGGCGCGCGTCGGACACCGGTTGCGGAGGAACGTGGCCGTCATCACCGCTTCTCCCCAGTACTCCTTCGACAACCCGGCGTGCTCCAGCATGCAGCGCGCACACTCCACCAGCGTCCGATTCATTCGCTCGGCCACTCCGTTGAGCTGAGGCGTGTATGGTGGCGTGAACTTCTGCTCGATGCCGCGATCCGCACACAACTTGGCCATCGCACCCGAAGTGTACTCGCCGCCGTTGTCGCTCCGAAGCACCTTCACTCGCTTGCCGGTCTGCGTCTCAGCCAACGCGACGAACGCAGCGAACTTGGCAGCCACCTCCGACTTGTTCCGTAGCAGGTACACCACGCAGAAGTGCGACTTGTCGTCGATGAACGTGACGAAGTAGCGCTTGCCTCCGAACGTCGCCGTCTGCATCGGACCGCACACATCGCTGTGGACCACCTCCAGCACTTGCTTCGCACGGTTCGGCGACGACTTCATGAAGCTTACTCGCGTTTGCTTGCCGAGTGCGCACCCGTCGCACACCTCCCACTGCTTCACCGACGTCATTGGGATGCCAGTGCCGTAGCCCTTCTTGACGATGGCGTCGAGACCACCATGGCCGATGTGACCAAGTCGAAGGTGCCAGAGGCACGACGTGGTGTCCCCTTGGCGATTCTTCGAGCTTGCCGCATTGGCCTCGTCAGCAGGCGTCCTCGGCGTCATGCAGAGCTTGAACAGTCCTTTGCCTTCGCGAGCGCCAAGCTTCCACTTGAGACCCTTCGTTTCCGCGAAGCACCCGTCGCTCTCGAAGGTCACTGGCCCGACGTCCTTGGTGAAGCGGCCGACGGAGAACAGGTTGCGCGACAGCTTCGGGATGTGCCACACACCCGTGAGCACACCCTTCTTCATGCCGCGCGGTGTCTGCATCGACATCACGATGTCGCCGCTCCCCACCGCCGTGAACCACGCCGTCGTCCGCCAGATGCACGTCCACCGGAGAGATCTTCTTGTAGTTCTTCATGTACTCCTTCGAGTACGTCATGTGCTGCGTCGCACCCGAGTCGACCAGCCACATGCCGCTCAGCTTGGAGGCACCCGTGTCGCCACCAACCGAGAAGAGGAAGTCGCCAGAGTCATCTTCGACCTGCGCGACGTTCGCTCGTTGCGGCCTCTGCCGCTCCCCGTTCTCGCGGATCCGCACCGGACACTTGGCGATCCAATGTCCGTGCTCGCCGCAGTAGTGACAGGCGCTCGTCCTCTGCGCTTGCGCCTGCCGTCCTTTGCGCTTCCCGTTGTCGCTTGTCATGAACGCTTGACCTTGAGCGTGCGCGGTTCCGTCAGCACCGCCACCTTGTTCCTTGCGCTTCATGTCCTCGTGCAGGAGCCGAGACGTCACGAGCTCCCACGTCAGCGTGTCGGAGCGCGATTCCAACGCCGTGATGAGGAACTGGTACGACTCGCTCAGACTGGCAAGAAGCGTGATCACCAAGTCGTCCTCGCTGACCGGAGCGCCGACCGCGTCGAGCTGTTCCGCCAGCGTCTTGAGCTTGTTAATGTGCTCCAGCACATCATCACCTTCGTCCATCGTTGTCGTGAAGAACCGTCGACGAAGAAAGAGCTTGTTCGCCAGGCTCTTCTTCTCGAAGTGTCCCTCGAGTCTTGACCATGCATCATGCGCGTCCTTCGCCGACCGCACCAGCGGCAGCTGCGAGTCCTCCAACGCGAGACAGACGATCGCCAGCGCCTTGCGCGACTTCTTGCGAAACGTCGCTTGGTCCGCCGCGGTCGTGCACTGCTCGAACTTCACTTCCCCACTCGTCACTTCCCACAGTTCGCGCTCCTCCAGCACCATCTGCATCTTGAACTTCCATGTGTGGAAGTTAGTTCCGTCGAACTTGTTGATGCGGGCGGTCGCGGTCGGGGCGGCGTCCATGGCGAAGGCGTAGTCGGGGTCTTGGTCAGGGAAGACGGGGCTTGGGCTCATAACCAAAAGGAAGAACACTTGAGCAGTAGTTGGCAAAATGCAAAGTGATTCGATTCAGGTCCTTAGTTCGCAACCGCGTGCTACCTCTAAGCCTGCTACTGGATACCTCTTACTGGATACACCCTACTGGATTCTCTACTGGATACACAGTTACCTTATCCAATCAGAGAACGCCACGTCGATGCCCATCTTGTACCCACAATCTTGGCGTAATCACCGTGACGTAGTCATCGTCCCGTAATCACCTGAATGATTGCGGTACAACACAGTGAAGGTCACGCCGACCTCACTGATGACGCGTTCGCGTCACACGGTCGCTTGGCGAGGCGTCGTCACATCAGTCTTGACAACAGAAACGCCCTAAGATCCAACAGACGTGGCTCTCACTATAAGGTGGTCGAGAGGTTATCAACGTCTGTTAGATCTCAGTGGTTGAGCGGTTCTAAAACTACCTTCGTATCGAAAAGACGTGGCTCTCGCTCTCAAGTGGTCGAGAGGGGTCGTCGTTGAAATCGCTGCTGTCCCGAAAGAAGGTTTCAGGAATGTTCTCGGTGGTAAATTACGGTAAGGAAAAAATCTGCCGGCGTAATGTTCCATGACCCACTACTCTTGGCATCACCGCTCCGCTCCGCTTAGTCCAACTTGCCAACACCGAAGTTGCCGGTGGTCTGCTGCCACTCCTTCTCCAAGTCGCTCGTTTGGCCAGCCAGCCTTCTGGACTGAGACTCCTCCTGCTTGTAGCCGCTCGTCTGTGCAGTCTGCTGCTGCTCCTGTTGCTGCTCCTGCTGCTGCTCTTGCTGCTGCTCCGAGTCGTTGTTCTTCGACGACTGTTGCTGCTGTTGCTGCTGTTGCTCCTGCTGCTGCGATCCATTAGCCTTAGAAGACTGCTGCTGCTGCTGCTGAGAGCCACCCGCCTTCGAGGACTGCTGCTGCTGCTGCGAACCGCCCGAGCCAGTGGAACCTGGCGTGTACTCAATGAACGTCGAGACCGACTTGACCGTCTTCAGCGCAGTCTCGCCGTTGCGCGACTCGAAGGCGCCGCTGTCCACCAGCTCATTGGCCACGCACGCACGACCCAGGAGGCTCTTGCACTGGTCTTGGCTGCTCGCCGCGTACAGCGCGCCGTCCTTACCCGTGAAAAGAGGCATCATCGTGTTGCTGAAGTAGTTGCCCTCCGCGAGCACCCAGGCGTTGGCGCCGATCTCGAACGAGTGGCCCGTGTTGTTGCCCCAGAAGTTGTTGGCGACGTGCGCGACGACCTTTGCAGCGCTGTCGCCACCAATCTTGGGCGAGCGGCCCGACGTGCCGTGGATGTAGTTGTTGAGCATGCTGAACTTGGTCACGCCGTAGAAGATGAACGACCAGTAGTGGTGGCCGTCGCACGACGCCGAGTAGTCGGTGTTGCCGTCGAAGTCCGAGTTACTGATGGTCAGGGAGTCGGTGCTCGCCATGTTGGTCGTGAGGAACTGTCGGCCGACGTGCGAGACCTTGATGTGGTCGAGCCAAATGTTCTTCATGGCGGTTTTGCCGTGGTCCAGACCCTGGAGGTAGATGGCGTCGCCACCCCAGACGAGGTGTCGGTTGAGCTCCGTGATGTGGACGTTCTGGATAATGATGTTGTTGCCGTTGAGCGTGAGACCCTTGCCCTTGATGACGCCGCTCTTGCCGATGCCACGGATGGTCTTGTTGCCGGTAACAGTCATGCGCTTGAGAGCTGCGTTGTCGTATGTGATCTTCACCTTGGTGCCACCAGTGCAGCCGCCCGTGGTCGCCATGTTGCCGCCCTGGATGATCACATCCTGGCTCTTGTAGCCGTTGTTCTTGGCCATGCACTCGCGAGTGTAGTCCGGACGGCAACCCGTCTCCGTGGTGGTGCCCTCCGTGCCTCGGAAGTCGAACGTCTTGTTCAGCACGACCACAAGCGGCTCGCTGGACGCGAGGTACGAGACGAGCTCGCTGGTCGACTTCGGGTACACGGTCTTGCCTCCCGCTCCACCGGTGGCGCCGGCGGCGAGTCCCTCGGGCGAGCCGACAGAGAAGGCGTTGGCGTTCTTAGCGACGAGGGCCAAGACGGCGGCGATAGCGAATTGGAGGCGCATGGTGAAGTAAGTGTCTTGAGTTTCGCCGGCGAGTTGTAGTGTTCAAGGTGAGGCAAATTGAAGAGTGAATTTGTTTTTATCCTGGTTGTACAGATTCAGTAGCTCAAGACCGGGCGAGACCCAGGTTGACACATGAGCAGCCTTAGGTGTCAGCCCAGACAACTGGGCTCGTTGTCGAACGGGCTACCTTGACCGGTTTCAGTCATTTGGTATCTTTTTGGTGTCTGTTGGTGTTGTCCACCTGGTTGACAGGTCAATGCAAGTTTTCCCGTGTTTCTTTCGAAGAGGCTGGCAATTTGTTCGCGACAGACTTGTGGGTCAGAGGCGTTTTGACTCAGCGTCGTGGATAGTCTTGTGTTGTGCCGCACAACTTGTGCGCGGTCGCTTGAAAACGCCACCGGCTTCGCGACAGGAGAGTTTGGCGGCTGGTGGATTACAGTCCGTATCCACGTCATTTCGCACGAACGTGCTGTGCATGTATGTACAGTACCAGCATTGGATGCATGTTGGCAGGGAACACCGTATCTAGTCGAGGGAAACTCAATTTGTCGTTGTAGTCGACCGAGCTTCGCCATTTTCGCTTTCTATCGGACCATGATGCTATAATACTACAAGGTTTGGCTCTCACAATGCACCTCCCTCCTTCCCTGCAGCACCCAAGCAAGCAAGCTATCTATCTAGATACCTGTGACGAACTTCAGGCTGGAGGGGTCTGGTTTCTCTTCTCGGACGGTCGAACAGAAGGTATCGACTGGGACAAGATGTCTCTTGTGAGTCAGACGGAAACCGAGGAGAGATCAGCTGATCGTGGAGTATCCACAACCACAAGCGAGCGCTGGCTGTACCGAGCGGGCGGGCGCCTCGAGCTCGCAGATTCTGACGCTGTCGATAGCAGGCTCTCGTGCAAGACTTTAACAGCACGACGAACAAGCAAGCAAACAAACAACTACAGTATGACCTGCTTGTCGTGCTGTGGGTACTGTAGTACTGTATTTGTGAGGGCAGCTGCCTCGCAAATCGTTTCCTTCGATCTGCACCAGCCGTATTTCGCGACTTGGCTTCAACAACTTTCGCGACGTCCCGAACGGCTCTCTCATAATTATTATTAGATTAACGATTACCGCATCTGGTTTTCGCTGTTTGAATGTTCAATCGACGCTTCATTGCACGGCGCGTGTCGTCGTCCAAAACGGGGGTCACTGGATATACGACCGGTGCATCCAGCGTTGTTGACGTGAGCTGCGCCGTCAATTGTTTGGATAGGCATCTTTCACGGACCTGCAGTTGTGCTAAAGGAATCACCCCAAACGTTTTTGATCCCAGCACGATGGCCATAATTACGGCACCGAACATTATCTACTGTACAGTAGTGTTTCCGCGACGATACGAGCGGCTACAATGAACCGATGGGTATGCCAGAGCTTGATGTGTCCTATTAAGAACCCCCTAGCTTGTGGGATCGTTAGCTGCGATAATCTGAAACATTAGTGTTGCGACTGTAGGAGCCAACACTTGGCTCGAAGTCACCCGGCACCTTTTCACCGTCGATCCCGAATGCCCGGACAAGTAGTGCTCACACTAATCGTGCCTGCGCAACCTGTCATACCATCCACAGTACCGTAACGGTGGGTCTAGCGCTTTATCGCTCGCGAACTATGCTAGATATCTACTGCAATCTCCATGGTCGAATTTCCTGTTCACGACGCTGGAGCTTGCATCTTTCCTGAGACGTGCACCAGCCGCTTCGAAAGACCTGCCTTCAATCAATTGACTAAACTTGCGCGACTAAATCACTCCTGGTTTCATGTCCTCGTATGACAGCTGTTCTCACTGATCTCACGTGTAGCCATGCATCAAATCGGACGGCAACATACACCGGGCTAAAACGGTGTCCACGTCGACGGGGCGGATAAATGCTATTAATAAAGGTCGTCCCGGTGTTCGAAATGGATTGCTGTGTCACTATTATAAGTTGCGAAGATAAAACGAAAACTCTCGTGATGTATGTATGAACTCGCCAACAGGTTCGCGAAGAATTTTCCCGCTACCAATTTTCGTGAAGGTGAAAACTGTGGTGACGCCATCCTGAAGATTATAAGCTAATCTGCATTTTAATACTAGTACCGGTACTTTGATCGACAAACCATCGACTACATTATTGTTATTACGCTACAAAATCTAGAGAACTTTTAGCGAGGAAGCTCTAATTACAGAATGGCCTCTGTTTTCATCAACTTTCTTAGTCCAGCTTGCCGACGCCGAAGTTGTCAGTCGTCTGGGCGTACACGCTTTCCACGTCACTCGCCTGGATCGACGACTGAGTCGTCTCCGTCGACGGCTTCACGGTTCCAGCATCGGACTGCTGCACTTGCTGCTGGTCCCCCTCCTGCTGTTGCTGCTGCTGCTCCGAGTCGCTGGCCTTGGCGTCCGAAGTGTACTCAACGAACGTAGGGACCGACTTGATGGTCTGAAGCGCCGTCTCGCCGTTGCGAGACGAGAAGTTGCCGCTATTCACGAGCTCGTTGGCCACGCACGCACGGCCCAGCAGACTCTGGCACTCATCTTCGCTGCCAGCGACATACAGTGCACCCTCGTCGCCCTTGTTGTACAGAGGCATTCTCGTGTTGGTAAAGTAGTTGCCCTCAGCCAGAACCCAGGCGTTCGAGCCAATCTCAAATGAGTGGCCCGAGTTGTTGCCCCAGCAGTTGTTGGCGACGTGTGCGACGACCTTAGCAGCGCTGTCACCGCCGATCTTGGGCGAGCGGCCCGACGTGCCGTGGATGTAGTTGTTGAGCATGCTGAACTTGGTCACGCCGTAGAAGATGAACGACCAGTAGTGGTGGCCGTCGCACGACGCCGAGTAGTCGGTGTTGCCGTCGAAGTCCGAGTTACTGATGGTCATGGAGTCGGTACTGGCCTTGTAAGTCGTGATGAACTGGCGGCCGACACGCGAGATCTTGATGTGGTCGAGCCAAATGTTCTTCATGGGCGTGGTGTTGTTGTCGGTGCCCTGGATGTAGATGGCGTCGCCGCCCCAGACCAAGTGGTGGTTGAGCTCCGTGATGTGGATGTTCTGGATAATAATGTTGTGGCCCTTGAGGGTCATGCCCTTGCCCTTGATGACGCCGCTCTTGCCGATACCGCGGATGGTCTTGTCCCCCTTCACAGTCATGCGCTTGATGGCGGCCTTGTCGTAGGTGACGGTCGTCTCCGTACCGTTGTCGCAGCCACCCGTGGTCGCCATGTTGCCGTTCTGGATGATCACATCCTGGCTCTTGAAGCCGTTGTTCTTTGCGATACACTCGCGTGTGTACTGGGGACGGCAACCGGTCTCAGTTACTGTGCCCTCCGTGCCGCGGAAGTCGAACGTCTTGTTCAGGACGACCACGAGCGGCTCCGTCGCATTCAAGTACGCGATCAACTCGGTGGTGTTGGTCGGGTACACCGTCTTGCCGGTCGCTCCGCCAGTAGCGCCAGCAGCAAGACCGGGGGCCGTGCCAATGGTGAAGGCGCTGGCACTCTTGGTGACGAGGGCCAAGGCGGCGACGAGAGCGAGTTGGATGCGTCCCATGCTGAAGAAGCGAAGGTGTCTTGAGTACGACGACGAAGGGGAGACAGTGCTCAAGACCCAGTAAATTGGAAACTGAACTTGATGGACGACGGTTGCACGAGTACCAGGGGGTCGAGGCGTTGCTTCGCCAGGGTTGTTGTATCTAGTTCGCAAACCTTGAAACCCTTGAGTCAAGAGCTGTGTCTACCCTGGAACATGTGGATGGGCAACTTTCTGCTTATGGTATTGAAACTGTATCTTGAAGAGCTTTTGCACCAGCGTATGGTTGTGTCAAATCGCAGCCACTATGTAGCGGCTGATGAGGAGGAGGACATGGTGTTCTGACGATCGCGTCGCGGGAGATCTTACAATCACAGTTACACCTATGGACTCGCTCAGCTTGGAGCTTTACCGTATGCTAGCCAAGAAGGCAAGGCGTTTGTGGATCCTTTCGCTTCATGTACCCGAAAACCCACGACGTTTAGGGAATGCTGGAGTTAATCTTTAAACATGTCCAAGTCCGCGGCTGGTAGGTCACAATTCTGCAGTACTGTACTGGTAATACGCAGTAGGATGCATTGTCTCACACGCGTAGTATCATGGAATTCCCCGATAAAACAACCAGCGCGCTCCTTGATACGGTCAGAGTACAAACTTGCTAGGTAGTACTAAAACCTGCTTCACCTCTGGTGCTGCGCTAACCAGTACCCAGCGAGTCTGAATACATGGGTCACGCAGTTTGCTCATTACTAGTCTCTCATATCTAATATCAACTGGGCGATCCGATCGTTCGCTGGTGACAGCTTTTGCAGCTGTTTTCGTTGATCACTTTAATCTGTGGCTGTCAATCCACGATTGTGAAAGTCACGCGCATGGATTGCCGCGCATGACTTACGCGATCTCAAGCCATGTGGTGGCAAAGGATGGCACATCGCACACCGGCGAATCGTGAAATAACCGTGCATTAACGGATCTCAAATTCGCACCAATTGGAATCACCACAACTGAACTTTACATCGGGGCGTTTAACGCAACGTTCAATTCGCTTCAACCATCTAAAGCGGCGCGATCGTTGGTACATGTAACTAACGAATACGTCTGCCTCAACTTCCAACGCACAGAGGTAACTTTCTCCTTCTGCCTTGTGCAATTTAAAATGAAAGTAGGATTTAGCATTATGTCGAAGCGTGGACGTATACAATGTGCTTGAAATACCCAACACGGGCATTGCACATAGAGACAACGTCACAGTTAATCGAGAAGGGATATCTTATTTTCTACCAACGGGCCAGCAGACCGCGCGTATAACCATAACCTGGCAAGTTATCTAGACGCTTCTCGTTGGCCTCCATTTTAAATGAGATCGTTCCGCCGTGTATATCCCATCTAGTATCGATGTTAGCGAGATACCTACTTCACAGAATAAATGCTTAACAACAACACTGCTTGCAGTTTGAAGTGCTCCTCGGATGATTTTGGATTAAATTTTACGTTTTAGCCGATCAAAATGCAGTATTGTGGAAAATCTTAAACAAAAACTGCAGTTTTAGAAAATAAATCGGGGCGTTTTAACGTGAAGATAAGTGCAGTTCTAAAATCTCAAAAAGCACTTGTTTAGTAAAGTACGGTATGAGTCAACAGCCGCAATGTTGTCCACCACCAGCGAGCCTTTCCGGCAACCACTGTATCAATACCAGCTTACTGATGGGAGAATTAGAGCTTGCGGTATGTAAAACAGTACGGTTATGCTAACACAAGCATTTTATTGTAAACCACTCCAATTTTGAAGTTTCCAATGATGCTATGAGTCAGGAGGCCGAAGAATCAGCTGATTGTCTCTGAAAAGAGGACAACCTATGGTACCAATATCAAATAGCTCGTGGGGTCTACATTGGACTGTATTTATTGTGCTTTGCAATGATTTTGGCAATATGGGGCGAAATTTGCTGTATTTATAACGACCACCTGCTAGATTTACGATAAATCGAGGTGCATAAATGGGTGGAGGCCTAGAATTAAATGGTACACATGTATGAGCAAATGTATTGAAGTGTTGGTCTATGACCTACATAGAACGCAGCTAAAGCTCAGTAGGGGAACGGAAGGTTAATTCACCTTCGCCCTCGTCCTGTGTCTCTCCACGAAAATCCAGATGCTCGCCTGGTGCAGCGGTACAGTGCTTCCCGGTCTCATCGCTATCCTCCTGCTCATGAAAGATTAACTTGGACATGATAAGGTATGTTATTGGGGTCTATTCAGTACCGGTGGTATATTTTGAGGGTGGTCCTTCATCGACAGCACTTAGGTATGAGGGTTTAACTTGCCCCGAGGGTACCAATATGGAGGCCAAAAATTAAATAAATAATTCGCGATTTGGTCGGTACATGTATCATTTGCGGGAACCCGGGTTCCCGCCAATTGTTTCACATGCTAACATGTAAAATGCTGTTAGAGGCGAGGAGTCGGAAAAGCTGTCGCTGGCTATGTCGCCGGCACCCCATAACTATTTACGCATGCTTGCAGCTATAGTCGAGTGTATGGATAGTGACATTAAGGGGTGGTCCGCACAAAAAGTAAAACGATGATCACGCCCTTAGACGTCTTTCTCAATTTAGTGGTCCTGACCCCAGCCACTCCGCGTGTTGTGGTCGTTTACCTCCCAACTTAAAAAAAAGAAACAGCTACTATACAGCAGCTGTGAATCTCTGCATTTGGCGCCTTGATTTTGCGTTCCATACCATGAAATATCCGACTATAGGACCTATCCGAGCTGTACCAAAACCATGGTACCCTAGAAGGATGGACTACTAAAAACAAATATATAAGTTTGTATATTATGTTGTGGGCCACACCGATTACACTTTTGCTCATTTTTATGGGAAACGTCAAAAGGTGTATGCGTTGGGAAAACGTTTGTCAATAGGTGTAGTGGTCGTGGGCGTCACGTCGCGTCATGTCTCATCATACACGTACTGACACACGTTTTGGTTGCCGCGGTATTTCGGCCGAGGTCGGGTCATACAGACCCAGGATCGAGCTTCCAAGCACAGTAGTTTATTACGACACGCTCGTAGCGAACACGGTCAACTAATAATAGCATATAGAGCAACTGTACTCGACAACTTCGCTATTGTGTCTATAAGGAACTACCAACGCAAACCGCAAGCGTCTATAGCATGGCTGTACTAGGTAGGTTTTGCATCTGAATTTCGGAGGTGAAGGAGCTCTAGTGAGAGCCCCCAACCGGAAGAGAGTGTAGGTATTGTAGAACTGTGGCAACGCTGAGGCCTCGCTACAATGGATAACAACGTTCATTGTAGTCCCTCAGCCGTACAATTCGCTATCAAAGTCATGGACACCACGAACCGGGCTAGTTGCATCAGGTAGAAGCCTTCCTAACCCCGGGTTTTATGGATTTGGATCTAAGCCCACACACCAGTCACCGCATTCGTTGCTGATGCAGCTTTATCATGCACCTTAGTGCGCTTGGAACCACATACACATACTGTCATACCGACAACCTAGCATACACCTAATGACACGAGTTAACCGCTTTTGACAAAACGTTTCAAATTCATACATCTTTTGACATTTTCCCCATTTTTATTCTAGCGTTGGGTGGCGGGCTTGCGTGG